GTAACTATTATGTTTCCATTTAAGTCTTACAAACACTCTTTGTTTGAAACAAAAATGTTGTTATTTCATACAATTAGACAGCCAGACGGTTAAATGTTTGCTTTTGAGTGATAATTATGTAAGAAAACAGTGGTGTTGCTATATGTAACAGATTTATCTTGTATCTGATGCGAGTAATAGGCGGGAAATTTGAATTCGGAACATAGAATGTATATCTGTCATGTTTTTTTTTAAATCTATTACTAAGATCTCAGCTAATACTAGTTACAAAAAGTTTTTATTTATTTTAGATTTGAAATCACTTTAGTATAATTATGTGGAAAGTCAAGCTTCGGCACAAATGGGCTGGCTCGACCGGCATTTTTTGGTTACTTTTCACCGTGAGTTATATTGAGAAAAAAACCAACCCTAATCCTGGAAGGTGCAGATGTCCATGGGCAGCGGTCATTAGATGACCCGCTGCTCGTTTGCCACCATCACAAACAAAACGTGAAAACTTGGCACTTAGCTGATGTCATATTCTTTCTTCACACACAAGTAACCCCAGTTTTACGACCAAAACAGAACATTCACACAACAATAAAATGTATACACAATAAGGCAAGGCAAATCCAAGGTTATTTATCTGTATGTCCCATCAACATCTGTAACGGGGGTGGTTACCGTAAGCCAGAGATTTGCGAACTAATTTCAACTGCAAATCCTTGAAATGAGAGGGATTTTCGTACCCAGCACCTTTATGATAATCTTCTACGAGGCTTGTATTTGCCATCATATTTGGTTTAGAAATAACGGTATTCTTTCTCTTTTAGAGTACGAAGCACAGATAATACATAGATGTATATGTATATAACCTCGGTTCTAAGATATTTAAGTATAATTAAAATTAATTAAAGTTTTATTATGGAATACGAGTATTAAAGATTATAATTAAGTATTTAATTATATTTTTGTACAAATAGAAGAGAACTTTTATTTTATTTTAAGAAAATATGGTGTTGAATTTAATTTTACATAAATAATCAAAATATTATAATAATATAACGTTACATTACACTTTTAGAGCTAATTCCACGTGCCTACATAGATCGTTTTTATCTAACTGATAAGAGAATTAAAATGTATATTTATGTATTTGTAGATACGCCAAGATACGCCCGTACATATTATGTAAAAATTTAAATTACGTACGGTGTTTTTTATAAATATGTAAATATTTTAATTACTCATATCGTTAAAAATGATAAGTGGAGTGTAATACACATACAAAACTAGGATTTTTATAATTACATCTTATAGTATAATAAATACGATTTATTTTAATTAAAATGAATTAAAGTGTCCAATATCTAGACATTTGAAGATCTAGAATCATCTAGAATGTTGTCATTTTATAAAGGCCCTTTAAATAACTCAAGTAATTTAATATAATTCAATAAATATTTGCAGTAAATATAATAGTTATGAACAAAAATGCTCACCGATCCACACTGCCCAGCACTGGCACAACAAACAACAAAATAAGACACGCCATATAAATGTTTACGTAAAATGTACGTGAAAGTTACGTTTTATCGGTATTTAATCCGATTGGACGAAATTAATGCCGACTAAATATGTATGAACGGCTCAATTGTGACTCCACGCGACTCACATAAGTGCCTCTACACACGACAACGCAATGTATAACTCAAGTAGCGAACGGAATCCGGCGAAACTTGATACAAAGTACTTAATGTTCGCGTGTCAGTTGGCAGTTTAACTCCATATCTTCGCCTGACGCACCGCTGCGAATGTCCAATAAATACGCGTTTGACGCCCGTGGCGTACACACCCGCCATTTTAATACGACCCCTGAAAGTGTGTAACCTAATACCACGTCTAACGTCTATCACTAGAATGCACGACTGTGAATAGTTCTCGCCAATCTGGTCGACTCGCAGAATGGAACGACGGTGTTGCCAACACCGAGGCAGCAGCCAACGGGCCATTGTAGCATCTGAATTGATATGAATGCAAATAAATAATTCAAATCGTATAACGCAAGAAACTAGACCTAATGAATAGATAGTATTGTGACTATGTGAAAATATTTATAGAGCTTGTAAACTATTTAGTGGCAACTAAGCAGGGATGTTTGCACTTCTAGAACATTTCTTGATTAGATATTAATATATTTTCTTAGGTTTTTTGTTAATATTTAGTTAATGTTAGTTAGTATGAACGTAATAACTGTAAGAGAATAAATAACGGTGAATAGTACAGGCACCATTTATGTTATTTGCACACACGGATGTTGCTTTGTATTGCGTTAGATACAGACGCCGTTAACCCTAAAACGCTTCCCAAGGGCATATTCTGTGCATTAGTTTAATTATGTGTGAACTTACACGTTAGTGTTTTGTTTCGCCATAGTTTATTACATTTGAATAATTTTTCCTCGTGGTTTCGCTCATTTGATTTTATGATGGAAGTAACCCGTGAAACGGAATATTTTGTTGTGTATTTAAATAGTTTGACGGTTCGTTTTATTCTTATGAATATATCCATTTTATATTTTAGATTGCATTTACTTTATTAAGCAAAAAAACCTTATGCGGAGCGGAGGTAGGTATTTACGGAGGCGTGGTTTGTGTTACTGATATTTTTTTTCTCTAGATTATATTTTTTTTTATGAGTTTATGAGTATGGTTTTTATAAAAGTAATTGTAACAGATAGAAAAATAATGTGATACGGTATGCCAACATATTCATGTATAATAGATGATTATGTAGGCATTGTGTGATATATTTATATTATATTAAAGACAATAGAGGGATATACTACATAATGTGCAATGCCATACTATATATTATATACTCAGTAGAGCTATATTAATTTACACAGTAGCGCTATATATATATATATATGGCACTACTGTGTAAATTAATTAAAAGAGAAAAGAGGTTATGATAACAGACTTTTGTAAGCTTAACAATAAATACATTCAGAATAAAATATTGTACACAAATAAACACACAGATACTAAAAATGGCCATGAAACGCATTCATCCGCCGCCAAAAGGCAAACAGTTGCTTACGGGTTATTTCAAGGAGGTGTTTAATGGGTGCATTTTAACGGCCATTTCGAATGTTATATGTGCGTTTATGGGCCAAATAAAAACTGTTAAAAATGTAACCAAATGATATTTTCGTACAATGTACCCTGTTGAAATGAGTAGTTACAATTTTATTGCGTTAACCATAAACACTGAATATTTTATGCATTATAAATAAAATATTAAAAATATAAATGTTATAATAAACACAGTATGTGGATGTATAGATGACTGTCCACAATAAACAACCGATATAATTCATTTTTAAAGTGCGTGCAATGCAAAATTTCACATTAGTAAAGCCGTGGGGCAGGCAGGAAACACGCCATTATCATACCCTCCTCCACACATAAACACACATCACTACATAGGGTGTTTACCCCTCGGGGGTAATTTTTACCCCATCATCGAAAGTCGCCACCCACTCTACTCATCATTCGTTATTTGAATTACGCGTAGCAATTTAGTTTTATTTTCCTTACTTTAATAAATTTCTTTAGTTATTTTAATTTAAAAGTATAATTATTTGTAGGATTGTCTGTAAGAAGATTTTTATTTAAATACTGTTAGTTAATATAATATTTAAATGTAAAATGTAAAAGTATTTTTGTTATTAATTATTATAGTTTGTAAATATGCATGTAGGTTATTATCGTGCATTTACAATTTCAAACATTTATCGTTCTACGTCAGCGAATGAGTCCGATAACTGCTATCACGCTTTTTATACGATTTACAAAACACGTTTCGTTAGCCATTTTAGGGGTGCGTGACGCGTTGATTTGTGGTAGAAGTTTCATTATGTTGAAGATTTGAACCAATTTATGTAACTGTTCTTGTGGGAATTGTAACAAATGTGCTCGAACGAACAATTTTATTCCAACTTAAATGATTTCAATTTTATTGTTTCGGCCACTTATTTGTTTCAAAAACGTAATTAAAGTAATAATACGTAAATCCGTCAGAATAAAATAAAACAGCTTAAAAAACTCCTTATTCATTGCCCACGCATCAATAAACGCCAAAAAGGGGAAATTTGATGATAAATTATATTCGATTTTCTCATATCTCCTCCTTTTCGCACGCACAAGACTAGAGCGAGATAAAATAGTGTACGTGTACATACATAGAGTTACCCATACTAATTTGTTTTGACATATCTGAACGAACGACCACTTTGCCCGCCTACAAGTTGCCTACTTGAAAGGGGATGAATTTGGAATGGCCTCATTTGTAAAAAAATGTTTCTTATTCCGAACACATAAAGGTTAGATTCCTTTGACCGGAATATAAACTCTGCTCATTGGATTTTATTGTTAGTAGCAAACGCGATTGAGTTTTCGCATATCTATTATACTGGACGGACCCCTTAAACATTCCTTTTTTTTGGGCCACAAAGCACTAGGGCGATCCCCTAAACGCGTGCCGTGTGAGATATTGCATTTCATATGATATAAAAAAAATTACGTGGCCGATCAATATTGATGCAAGACTTTAGTATAAAATTTAGAAAGTAGGCGCATGAGTAATTATCATTTGTGAGTCAATTTGAAGTCGACTAATTATTACAAAATACGTAACATCAGGGTCCCCCGGGGCACAATGCACAAAGACATCTATTGTGTAACCCAACAATGGCGTGACTCACTCATGACGGACAGAAAGACAATGAGACGGCCGACACTCTTCTAGGGCCCGTATAAGGCCGATATGCATAACGGATATCGGGGGCGTCGTATAAACTACAATTTCTTTCACCATATCTTCGTTGTACAAGTAAAATTTTGAAAGCACCTTGTTTTTCTTGCAACCATAAAGGAATCTGGCCGGTTAATTTATTCATATTCTTTAATAAAACCTTTAAAAATACCTCACAACTTAAGAGTCGTTACACCCACATTTTAATGTACCTGCAACAAAAGGAGGAAAAAATAAGTAACAATTGAGTATAATTTTAAACAGGTCTTAAACGAAAATGCAGCGTGAATGAGAACGTCAAATAAAAAAAAACAAAGCAAATCAATCGCGTGCCATGTAAAGAAATCCCATCAATCAGCCGAACCGAATGCAACAGTCAAATGTGGATTTTTTGTTCTACGTTCAAATTCGTACGACCTTGCCACGGTCAACTTGTGCCTGATTATCCTAGCCGATATTTGATGGCCCAACTTTTTGTATACTTATACTTTTTGCTTGAATAAAGTCGGTTGAGAACGACGTAACATTTCATTGCGCTGGTAAAAAAGACGTCAACCTTATTGTCTTTTTTTTAACACTCACCTTTTTTTGTCTAATTTCTTTGTGGATCGTAAAGTACTCCACCAGCGTAAGTATACGTTTAATGACACTTAGGAATAAAATATTATTTCGAAGTGTAAATTACACTATTTATTTTGTTTTACGTGACGTTAATAACCACTGTGTCATACCAAATGCTCGGCCGCACCGCAGACACGAAAGGTGACAAATGACACCTAATCATAATGATTGTATACCAAACGACCGACATACTTGTTAGTGACGGACAAATTTCCCTTATTGGCCGCTCCGTAAAGGTATACAAAATGAGTCAGACTCGGTGTTTTTGCACTTGCGATGATTTTGCGATATTTTTTTTACGTTCGTGCAACGCCCGCCACGACCTGCATGACCTACCTCTTTGTTAGGCCTGTCCTTTATGATTTTTTGTCTGTATAATAGGTTCGGTCGATGTACTTCAATATTTTTAATATAAATGATGCACAATCATGTGAATAAAAAATGTTCTTTAATCAGACTAAATGTAACTGGCACGATACAAATAAATAAATGCGTTTAATACTGGCTGGTGAGGAACAGAAGAAGTAATTGGAAAACATGGGACTTTTGTTGTTGTGGATACGGGCGTGGCCAGAGATACCAAACATTCCGGTCCGATATAAAACTGAATGATTATCGTTCAAAGAATTTTTGTAGCTCAAACTAATTAAGTAAATACTTATACAAATAATTAAATAACAAGGTTTGGAAATTTCCAAATAGATATTTTATCTGAAACACGCAGTTAATGGGACCACAGAGAGGCATATAGATAAACTAATAGGGGAGTCAGTTGGATAATAAATTAAACGCGTAAGTAATTATCTTATTTCTTTAAATGTACAGTTACACTGAGCTATCTGTATAATTAAGGATGCATATTTTTACTGACATGACTATAATTCTGTATAATAGGTGCTAATACTGTCATTTAAACCTTTTTTAACATTACACTACTGTGTTTAATAAATGGAATGTAAAATATTATGATAGTTAGTTTGTATTGAAAGATAGGTCACTACATTAGAAACTGTCCGTGTGGTGACGGATTAAGAATACGAACCCCCACTCATCCCGTGGGTGTCGTAAGAGCCGACTAAGGGAGCAAACTATGTAGGACAACAAAACTGCAAAGAGAAGGAAAACTTGACACAAACCCTATACCAACCCGTCTGGCCAGCGTGGTATAGTAGTTTAAAACCTCCTTTCTAAGGAGAGGCCTATGTCCAGCAGTTGACTATTAAAGGCTGTTGATGACTAGAAACTATATTGACCTAGTGCTTACTGATGACCAGAAAACTCTATATATAAGAAATAAGATGGTAGAATTACAACTTTAGATGGTATAAATATAATATGAATGTGTGAGAGTGGTCAATGGACAAACAAAAAAGCATCTAAATGTCTGTGACGTTGTTTTGTAAAGTAGAATGGATAAAAGCAATGATATTTAGTTAAATATTAAACTACAAATAAAAAAGTTAAATTACGTGAAATCTTTATACCTGGAGTTCTCATTTTAGTTACCGGTTAGTATTACCAAGGGAATGTCATATTTTGGCATATATGAGCCAGCCTGAACAGTGATACCACGACCTCGCAGAATACTTGAACAAACTCCCAAGGAAGCAAACGGATACGGATAACCCTATACGAACCCGTCTGGCCAGCGTGGTATAGTAGGCCAAACCTCCTTTCTACGGAGAGGCCTACGTTCAATCTAACGTCTGTTGAAGAAAACCATTTTAATGCGGTAGGATTTTTTTAAATGAGTTTCTTTAAGAACAGCTTGATGTAACTCTATTATTATTATTAACGCGTTACTCGGTTATCTGATTTTTTAAGTTAGATTTGTCGGTAGTAGTCCCTGGAAGGGTAGGTAGATGAGTATCACATCCACGTTTGTGTAGGGTCCAGTGCAACAAATATTATTAGCTTAAAAATAAGATTTTCCAAATGGGTTTGTAAATGAAGGTGTTCTGAGTTACCTAAGATAAAAAAAAGTACAGCCTAACTGAGAACGTACTTCTTTTTTTGAAGTCGGTTAAAATATGGTTTTGCGTTAATTTGTTTATACAAAACAGTCCGTTGTTCTAACTTCATTACATGGACTGGGAGCATCGTTTTTTCTGTAGACATTTTATTTATTATTCCATAAGTTCCTCCAGACAATTCTTTCAACAGAACCAAATTTTATTCATTAATACAGGGTGTTGTTAAACTGTTTGTCATCACTACCCGATATAGTATAAACACACTGGTCATAAATAAATGGGATCCCACGGTCGGGCATTTTAAAAAATTGTTGTTTTTAAAATGAAAAAGATTCTTTTTTTACCTCCCAACTCGACCGGTCTTGTCAGAGCAGGTGCCGGGATGGTGGAATGCACGAGAGAGCAACACAGGTTAGTAATTTACATGATTTCATTTAGTTATCGGTTCAGCGTTTTTGTTTGTTTCTTATTTTACCTCCTCAGTAAATAAATGTAAATTAAAAATAGGTATACATTTTTACAGGCTAGCAGGAGTGACCATCTGCACATGGCTGCCAGGAGCTTGATGCGAAAAGCCGAAAATCGATCTAAGTGGCGTGCAATGGGAGAGGCCTATGCCCAGCAGTGGACTGCTATAAGCTGATGAAGATACATTTTTTATATAATATTGTAGAAGGCAAACCAGCAGGTGGGTCACCAACTACCGCCGCCTATGGACCTTGTCACTCAACAGTTGGCGCCGTTTAAACTCCCCTGCCTCAAATAATAATAATAGCCAAGAACCTCGACCAAAACCTTAAGAGGCTCACGTTAGACGGCTGGATCAAGGGCCTGATGCAGAAGGCATTTCTCCTTAACACGGCCCGTATAGTGAGGAGGCTCCTATCTTTGGAAACCTAACCACCGGTGTCCTGGTCCCTCTACCCGATGTCGGTGGTCTACTAAGTATTTTTATATATTTTTTGTCTTTTGTAATATATTTAAAAATGTCATCAATTTGAATATATCATGAAATAAAGAGAATAATAACAATATTCTGCCACATTTACACAACGCCATCTAGTCCCAAACTGAGCAGAGCTTGCACTATGGGTACTAGACAATCGATTTAAATACATATATACTTCTTTTTTGTAAATACATACATATTATAGATAGAAACACCTAGACCAAATTAAACATGAAATGTTCATGCAGCCAAATGTTTGACTTATGCTGTAATCGAACCCGCTACTTTTGGAATAGCAGTCCTTTAAACAACAACATTCGGTCGTCGAACTAATCTTAGTCACTCGGTGAAGAGCAATTAATGAATGCCGTGGCCGTGGTTTTACTAATTACCTTCACAGTATCAGTCATTAATTACACCTTTATCCTTTCTATTTAGTAAGTTTCTACAATATTCAATAATAAGTGATGGTGGTGGTGATTAGAAACAGTCCCAATGGTGTTTTTCTGTGTTATTTCTGGTGAAAAGTATCAGCGGGTTTCTTTCAAGATTTCCAACACGTATTGAGTTATTAAAACATGTGTTCAAAAATAATGATTACAACCGTTGTTAGTATTTAATATTAACCCCGTAATGGATTTCGAATCCATATTAGCATTCCTTAGTATCTTGTGAAATATGAGTGTAATTTCATTTTACTTTGTACTAAAAAAACAACTAAAGTGCACCACTTCAACATAGAGCCATCCACAACATCTCAACTCAGAGCAGGTAGAGCATTCACATGTATTTCTTTGAAACATTCTCAGCCCTTCAATAGTTCAAAGGAAAACGCACTCAATTTACATATTCAATAAGACACAAATCTTAAAGACACGTCAGGAATGGTTAGCAAAATAGCAAGAATGAACAGTACTATATAATTTAAAACATATCAACAGGCCAGTATGTTGGTTAAAACAAAAACTAAACAAATTAACAATAATTGAGGCAGATTCAAAGAAAATGTTCAATTTACTTTTATTAAAATGTTGTTAATAAATATAAAATTACTTAAGTAAAACGGTGTTGGATCAAATTTTTAAATGCCGCCATTTTATTTTGGCGCGAATCCGGGGTCTTGACCGTTTTAATGGCTATAAAGATGATTCATTATAATTGTTGGAGATGAAACACGTTAAGGGACTCGGTGTATTTATTATACAAGGTTTATGAACTTCTGAACGCAAACACAAAAATATTGAATTAACTTCAAACGACTTTGGTTTGACTAACAGAACAAAGTATCACTCTATAAGGTCCAAATATGCGTGCACACATGTTTGGTAAAGGATCTTGAAAATCAAAACAATGTTGATCTAATAGAACAAACAAAATGAAAAGTAAAAAACATCCACCAAGAAGGATTTAATAACCTGTTTTAAATTCTCATCTCATACATTCTAATGGGGCCATACCATAAATTACGTTACACTTTTCGACGAAGTGCGACATTGGGTCTTAAGTTTCGTGACGTCACATTTCAAACCTAATATAATCTAAGCATTAAAACACGAAAAAATGATTAACAGTAAATAAAAGTGTGACGTAATTTATTGATGGTCCCTGATTATAAACATTCAGACTAATTTAAATAAAGAATTGGGGTAATACCTATCACAGGTTGGTCTGCTTCGACTTATTAATAAAAAATAATTGTCGGTTAGAGAGCTTCGGGCCTTTCGGCAACAGCCAGTTACAGTTATGGACTCTAGCTTCTCGACCTATGGCTTATATTACCCAATCCATTCCAATAGGCGAGATTCCTTTCCGTGCCTTAGCTCACCTCTTATATACCTTCCCTTTCAATATAAACTCCCAAATATTACTTCTGATTTCTAAATTGAACGGGTGACGGCATTAGGTTTATCCCATATAGAGTAAGTGGGACCAAATTAAAACAGGCAAAATGTGAGCGTTCATTATGAGCGACATACCGTGAGTGAGTGAGTATGTATGTAATACAATATACATTTTACATACATGAAAGTTATATGTCAGTCTATGTCTATCGCAACAGAAATAGATATTAACGCTGTTGTTGGATAAAGTATGTAGTATCTCACATCTAAATATTTCAAGAATGCTATTTAAAACTAAAAAAACATGAAATTCAGGTCAAAATAATTAATTTAGAGCTGAAAGTTTATCATTCAGGTCAAAATTATCATGGAATAGATGACGGATTTCACCAGCTCTGGGTCGCAGCGTAATGTAAGATACGCCACAACCTTCCTGATTTAATTCTTTATACAATAAAACAACAATTTTTAGAATATTAATTATTTTATATATTCTAAATATGGTTTCAGAAATTAGCAGGTTTTATACCAACAAATAGTATTATTTTAGTATTAACAAAAAATAAACAATGCAACTTTATTCTCTACGTACAATAGGCTTCACATTCCAATTATTAATTACTTCAAAACTGTTAGGTACATTTTTTTAAATCTACACAAAAATTTATAAATGACGTCCAAATGACGGCTAACAACTGTTACTAGAAAAAAAAAAGATATTAATTTGGGTTATAAATTTGAAAAAAAAACTTAACCCTTCCAACCTAATCGAAATAATTCTACTAACCCCAATTTTGAAAGCAAAATAAATAGGTTATAACTATTTCCGAAGACCCTTAAAAAGTTTAAAAAAGTGTACGATACCTGCACTTAACCTCAAGTCGAGTGGTCCTGTCTGTTTAAATGGGTTAAGACAGAGGCACACTGATAGCAGCGTAACAGATTTTGTCCTTATTATAAAATATATCACGTACTTTATCGATGAGTGTCACATATACATATTTTAAGACTATTAAAACCTTATTTAATAATGAAATATTATATTATTTAAAGTAAAGTTGTAGATGTATGAACAAAGTTCGAAATTCAAATGTTTGTGTTCGAGAAATACCTAAAATGATCAAACTCTCAATGTTAATAAGTTTAAAACCAAGTTGTATTGTTTTCAATATCTTTGTGTTTTATCATTTAATTAGCAGATATTGAGATTATACGATAAACCAATGTGAAATTGAAGCGATAAGTACTTTTTCAAATATAATATTAGCTTCATTGATATTACATACTTGCAATTATAACCACTAATTCTTAATTTAAATTTCACTTAGAAGGTTTTAAAATCAAACATTTTTTCGAATGCGATAAATATATAATTCTAATAACAAGTCTTTTAAGAACCCAGTGCATCACGAACTTTAACTCACTCGTATCTCGTTTTCAAAGGATCGTATTATTTACATTTTTTTATTACAAAAAACGGCTAGAAAGGGAGAAAGAATAATATAGAGCGCTCACCAAATGTCCCCGAACACACAACAGGTTGAGCACGGTGGTATTCAACCTTTTTTTTCTCACAACTTTTTTCTTAACTCTCGTCTTTCCGACACATCTGAAACGTAAGAAGTTTTTGGTTAATCGTTGAAATGATTTTTTAAATTTATGCATGAGTTTTTTAACCCAAAATTTACTTTTTCTTATAAATTAATGTTTAAGTTTATTGTGTGCGTACACTTTTATACTTATTTATGGTAACTATAAATGACTATGTTAACTATTTTTTAGTAATAAGATTCGGAGTTTCCGGCAAGAGTCACTTCCACTTACAGATGACCTTGACCTGCTCGTTCTATTGCTCACATTCCTCAATCCATCTGTATAAGCAATATCCCTTCCCTACCACTGCCTCTATTTCTTATCTACCTTTTAATATAAGAGTATATTAAAAGGTAGATAAGAAATAGAGGCAGTGGTAGGGAAGGGATATTACGGATAGATGAGAAGACTCAGAGGAGTCTTCTCAGCTATCCGTAAAATACGCGGTACTTCAACAGACTTGACCCTATTTGAGACTAAAATCATTTCTTTTTCAAATTTTAGCGGTTAATGTATTATTAAACGCAAATATTTTGCCGTTACGTATTGCTGCTTACCCTCCCGCAGATAAGTATAGAATTGAGTGTGTGTATGTATACGTTATAAATGTATATATAAAACTAGGTATAATATAGTATGCACGCTCTGTAGGGTTAGAAAAACAATAACGTTGGACTATATCAGAAGTAAACAAGTTATTTATAGTTATTTCCTACAGCTATAATAACATAATAACAATATTTTACCGACATTATTTATATCCTTATTAAGAAATACACTATTAAAGAAATACAATTCCAATATAACTGGATTAATAATAAAACTATGTAGGCCAGCGAATGTTATTTAAAGTTGAATTTTTATTACAGAGCTATTTAAAATAAATAACACATTGTGCGGTCATTAAAGTAATTGTTTATAAAAACAGAAAAAAATAATTAAGAATGTTATCTAAAAGTATTCAAGAACATGATCATTTTTAGTTTTAATTACTCTGCGGGAAACAGATAAAACAAAAAAAGGACAAAGGATATTTGAAGTATTTTTTTATTTTTAATAGGATCTTTTTAAACCTTGTGCTGTCTCCAATTCAATAGTGTCAATCGAATTCGTCACGTTTTTTTTTAAACTTGAATTTATAAGGATTCAAGTTTAAAAAAACTATTAAATCATAATTTGGTAGGTAATACTTCTTGTAGGTAAGGTCGACCTTACTCGTGTGTGGTGACTTTACCTACGAGTAGTGTTGTTGCAAAAACAGAGAATAGTTGACTAAGTGCGATGCCGCTTTGTGATATACCCTGTTACACGTTCCACATTTTTATACAGGTTTTATCATGGCGTATCAACATAAAAAGTTTAAAATGGATCTTTTGAAGGCCAACCGTCAAGTAATCTGATTGCATGATGGACCTACTGGGAAAGTATTTCATATGAAAATTAATGTTGTAGTTAATTTTATAAATGAAATCGTATGTTGCCTTATTAAGGCAAATTAATCAAAAACTAGCTACCAGTAAAAACAAAATATTATTCATTTCTGTAATGAATAGCGTGCCTTGTCTCACTTTATAAAAGTTGCATACATACCCAAAGAGAATAAGAAATTTTTAATACAGAACAAATTACAAAAAAGAATAATGATTTATAGAACCACAAAGATCAGAATGCGCTAGCAGCGCTTTGAGAATGAAAAGAGATTTTTATAAATGGAAATCCAAGATGGCGTCCGTTCGATGGCGGGGGCGATTAGTCCGATTGCCACGCCTGCGCAATGATTGACGGATCGCAAGGGTTGGTAGGTAATAAATAGAGTACACTATACCTATATCGTTTATATGGTTAATACTCTATGTTGAACTGGTGTTCTTAAGTGTCCTACCTACCCTTTTGAAATTTTAGTAAATTAGATTGGAATATGGTTTCATACTCTAAATAAATTAAAAATCCCTGAAGCATTCAAAAGTCAACAAAAACGTTTTGCATTCGTTCAAGGTTATTGTATTCAACAATTACTGAACAGAAAGATAGAAAAAAGGTTTACATTGCAAAGACACCAAACTTTCATAAAAACTGAACAATAATATTAAAATATCTTCACAACATCCATTAAAAACACTAAAAATGTTGTCCACATTAAAAAAACTGTCACTGTTTTTTTTTTATAGTAACAGAGATCGTCTGTGAGATCAATTACTCCAATTGGGTGTTAGTTACTCTATAATAAAAAGTACTATTTATACTTAGCAGCAGTTTCACGGATATTTTTCGACATCCGTTACAAGTAGTCGTTAATTAAGCTAATGAGGTACAATAGCCTAATATTTATTACCTGTCAACGGTATAGCAACTTTATGGAATGTCACGATATTATGACTTTCAAGTTAACTGGCTAAGAAAAGGTCCTCCACACGAAAAATATTATTGAATATTAACTTTTATTTTGCGATTAGAATCACGATGACATGTCCGTATTAATATGTATATCAGTCATTTCTCATAAATGTCTTAAACGGCAGGCTTATTATTGTTTAAAAAAAGTACTATTTTGTGGTTTTTCCTTCAACTGCTTTTTATTTGTATGTAATATCATAAATGACAGTGAAAGTGGGCTTTTTTCAAGATACAAAGGAGATATATAAAACATAATTTAAAAAGAAGTTATAATAAATTCAACGGAATGTCATTGCTCAGCACTATTGTTATAAAACAAGCACTGTACAATATATAATATGAACCTAAATTACCTAGCACAAACCGTTTCCGTTTACAAACAAAAAGATTTTGCGAATAAGTTCGATTTGATAAAAAAGTCGATTTTGCGAAGAAGTCCGTTCTCGCAAAAATATTCCATATCATAGCGTGATGTTGTCGAGACATAAAATTATTCAGTACGAAGTGAGAAAGTATTCATTAGCCGTGTTCGTGTGGTCCCCTTAGCCTGCTTAATTAACGCCTATAAAGTTTTATTGAGGAAGCAAACAAATTAAATGACAAAATACATGAAGGAGGAATGTAATAAGAGAACATGTGTTCTGAATTCATTACGAAGCTAACGAGTTACATACGTACATGTAAAAATAGTTGAATCGTTTGAATCACACTTACTTTAAGCGACTTTTGCATGGATGCTGATATTTTTTTTAAACTCAAGACTTAAAAACTTTTGAACAATAATATTCTTTACTGAACTAACCTTTTGTTTATTTTATGAAAATTGTTACCCAAACTAGAAGCAAAATAGCGATAATGTGGATGGGTGTCGATTTGGATTTAAAAATCATTAATTTTATTTAGTGTCCATTAATGTAAAATTATTCTTCATGATCATCATCAACAGCCTTTTATAGCCCACTACTGGACATAGGCCTCTCCTTAGAATAAAGATTTTGGCCTATTGGGTATGCCACACTGGCTGGACGGGTTGGTATACGGTTTGTAAAGTTATTAACTACCTAATTAAAATTCAACCACCGAATCAATTTATACATCATCTGAAGGTCGACTGGGAGAGAATGCCTCATTGCATTAAGTCCGCCTTTGTAAAATATGTGTATTAAGTTTAAATAAAGAAAAGGTTTTTTTGAGAGGAGATAAAACTGATATTAGTTATTGAAAATTTAGCACTGACAAGTATATTTTTAGTACTTAGATCTTAGCTGTCATATTGTTAGTCAAAAACTCAATCAACATATTTGATTTATATGGCTATTTCTATTAAGCCTTAGGTATTTTCAATACATAAATAAGCTTGTTATTCACAAAACAACAATAAATACCATGTTTAGTATTCCTGACCATCCGAATTTTGTGAGATTAAAAAAATTGTAGTGAATTAATTAGCAATTTAAATAATAAACATCGTAATAAACTTTGTGCATGCTTAATAATAAGCAAAAAATTACGTTGAAAAAGAAAGATTTAGCAAAAGAATTTAAAGCTAATTAAAAGTTATTACCTTGTGCATATTTATGCTACTTAGTATTTTAATAATACATACTTAAAGCATTATAATAGATAAAATATATTTTTTTCTTAAACCGAGCTTAAAATTTAGTTACTCATTAACTACAAAGCAAACCGTTTCAACAGGACGATAAACTCGCGCAAGGCAAACACTATTCTTATTCAAATTTAAAGCAGGTACGAGTTCATATTTACCTACTTTTGACGGTCAGGGTCAAAGATTATATATGTTTCGGTTAAAATAACTTGAAAAATATATCTTATTTTAGAAGAATCACAAGGTACCATACAACAATAAAAAAAAAACTTAAAACTAATCAACGTCGACGTTGGCAACACAAAACAAGTTCTCTACACGGTACTTATACTTTTTTAAGACCATGTGTTTCAGAGAAGCAGATACTGGTTATTAACGATTGGATTTAAAAAAAAAGATAATTGTAGTTCTATTTTTAAAATAAATGTTCTAAAACGTTCCGTGGTCAATTAAAAATAGTTTTAAAGAATTTTGAACGTACGTGAGTGGATTACGCTACAAGAAACAGATGCCTGAATATTCTATTTTCAAATTTAAATTTCTACACGGTTGGAAGTTGGGCACTGAAATTTTAGTTATACATAATATCTCTCCAGATAATAAATACACAAAGTTCTTCACATAATAAGTAGTTATAACTCACTATAAATTAACTGAAAGCATTTACCAGTTGAAAGAGTACGGGTAATGAAGACGGCCACCATAACAGCACACTCGTAAATTATTTATGGCTGCCATAAATGTTCATGTTTCTTCACACAAGTGTTTGTTATTGTTAACAGTCAGAAAGTTACGTCACGTCAAATTAATACTGTACACAAGTATGCTAAGTATATTTAAACTTAAAATAATGTCTTGTTTTATACAATAGTTTTAGTTTTCTAGTAAACGTTAGTATTTTTCACTTTATGTCAAATTGTAGTGTTCCATGTTAAGTTTAAAAGTTCCACGTTAGTCTCAATACATCGTCTTATTAAAAAATACAATGTGTAGATAAATGTCAGTCTAAAAATTAAACCTGTCTAGAAACCTAAGCTTAAATTACGTTAAGTAATTTCTTATGTATCATCTCATTAAATAATTTTAAATGTTTAAATTTTATGGTACTTATCTACTAAGTTAACTTTATTTCTAAAACTAGAATGTGCTTAAAGCATTTTATCAAAGCCACACAGCTATCCTAATGTAATTTTTTATCATTTTCTAAATTTGACACCGTGGCAGCGTCCATCGAACAGACAATATATTTGTACACGTGCATTTCATATCAGTGATGAAAAAAAAAATCTGTTTTCCGTACACATCTTCTACATGTGTTGAGTACAGGCTACTGGTTATTACTAGTACAACGAATAAAACGAAATACTGCTTTGCATAAGAATAGTAAAGGGAACAGCTGTGCACGGCCATATGTGTAAGTCGCTATTAACATACGTTTAGTTCGTACGTGAGCTCAAGCTAACGTTTTGAATTTCGAATGGTGATATCAAGATTTTAGTATGTAGTCAAAAGTAATTGAAAGAGGTTTAAACTGTCATTGGAAGTGAATAGAATATTAAAAAAAAAGTGATTCAATAAACGTCATATAGGTAGTTACCTACTGTATATGGTACTATCAATGTATTAATTACATGTTAGAATAACAAAATAAAGTAGTTTATTTTAAATATTAGGCAGCCAGTAAAATAATAATGGCTCCCACTTCCTTCCTGAATAGCCTCAATGTGACACGAAACTATAAATTTGTGTGCTATTAGTAATTTATTACTGTGTTTTTATAATATACTTAATTGCTATTGTCGTGTGTATAGAAATATGGATCAACTAAAGCATAGATAAACCAATGGCTTTTTTAAATGTTGAACGAATACGATCATTATGTCATTGTGTTGTCTTATAATAATCAATGTGAAAGATGGTATAATACTAATCTAAATAAAAAATAATTATAATATTTAAAACCATGTAATTTAACATTTATGTTGTGTAGATTACCTATTTAAAAAGTAGAATTTAAAAAGAAACTTGAGGTACTTTTTAGCACTTCACATTTTAATTAAATGTTTTTTTTTTAATAAGTAGTATCTATAGTTTTTTTTTAATAAGTAGTATCTATAATATTTTTTTTGTGATTGGGATAATGTATCTATTAATACAAATGAAAGCTTTACTAAATTCCCTATATTATAATTTGGTAAGATATCGGCAACAATAATAACTGTGAAACTGGCAACCCTCAGTGTTTAGAAATGTTTTTAATACCTACTTACTTTGATAGAATTTTATTTGGTCTTTAAGTAAACAAAGAGACCAATAAAAGAAACTAATAAGTGATAGCAATCGCAATTAGATACTGCAATGTCTAAATATAAAAATACAGAGAATAACTGCAAAATGACAGTTGATACGCAATATGCTCGTTGACAAGCCATAATTCCTCTTTATAAGTCAAAACGGTATGTTCTGTCGTCAGATCATTTAGTTTTAATGATTAATTTTACAATTGAATAACAAAAAAAGGATAACAATTATATAAAGCCTGTTAAATTATTTATATTAAGTGTATTCAATTTTTAATGCTATTTTCGCGCCATCACGGAAATGCAAGTGTAACAAGCAAACAAAGCCTAATTTGCGTTTAACCTCCTTTTTTAAAACCAGTTCAGTATAAAAGAATTCAGCTAACATTTTTATACAGTTAACATTTCACCGTAACCCTAAAAGATATAGTTTTATAAGCAAAAAGGATGTATTTTATCTTCCAATAAAATAATCCTTTAGCGATGATCATAAATCTTCGAGTATCATTCCAAAACAAAATTAATCCATAAATTAATGACCAATGAAGCATCTTGGATCACATTCAAATTCCAACATGCGTGCACGCATTAGAATAAGAACTAAAATATATCAATAGCACTTCTCACATAAATTATTAAACATGCATGCATGGGAATAAGATGGTAGACAATGGAACAAATCTTAATAAATGATCGAGCACGCAGGGTCCCCAGATTTTCCCCTCAACCCTTTCGATGCGACACCTGGTCACAACGTTCAAGTCAAAAATTTCCTTTATCGTATTAGCATAATATTTATAATATTTACAATGGGATGTATTATTCAAAGTAGCTTACGTTTTAATGTAATGGTAGTTTATTGTTATAGATAAGGGATGGGACAATGGCGCACTTTGTGGTGGTTTGTAAGAACGACTTGAGAGAGTTATGGTGAGAAGTTAACGAGGTAATCACAATGATGTGTACTGAAACATTTTTTAATATGATTTATATTTGTAGTGGTTTTCGGTTTATGAATAACAAGGTTTTAACGGTGGACATTGAATCTAAAGTAAGTCTTAAAATTTATAATTAATTAAAATAAAACATTTTAAAATCAAAAAGATATAAATGTTATTATACTATTATGTACTTTATATTATTTCCTCTAATTGTAATAATGTTTATTATTTGTTATAAGAAGAGTTAAGGCACGTAAGTATTCATATCTAATTCACGTTATACCAAACAAAGAACTAACGCTAAAAGCCTAGTAACCAACATCAAGAATAGTTTAAACAAAGATCGCTTGCATTCGTTAAATAAAAACCGAAAGTAATATCCATTCATAGCAAGCAAACTATCAGTTGCATCTTTCGATCCAATTTCGAAGACGACAAAAAATCCTTTTACCTCGACAATAGACAGTGGGCTTTTGTCTAGAGGCCGTCAAATGATACGCATTAGTTTTTTTGCGTTATGAATACATTTAAAACAGGAAGGATGTGAAAGTCGGGGCATTGAAGACACCGTATGCCGGGAAGGGTTAGGGTTAGTTTAAAGCGGTTGTGCCATACAAAGAAATAGGGATAATGGGTGAAACATTGTATTAACGAATGAATTATTACCGCCGTTTTGTTGTGGTTTATCATTTTTTAAGAACGAGTTATGTTTAGTGTAATTTTGATGTATAAAAAAGATGGAATAAGTCAATTATTTTAAATTGAAATCAACGTACAGATCTGACGCATACGAAAATTGAAAAAGAACAATAAAATTACTGTGCTCTTAAACCAATTTAGTTTTGCAAGCACCTAATTATTTTGACCTAAATGTGCTACCGTTTTTTTTTATGTTGAAAAACTGGCGAAGCTAAAAATTGTGAGCAATAAAAACATCATGATTCTATATAATGTCAATATCAATACAATGTAGGTAGCTTTTGATGACTTTAGACGTTTTAAGGTGAAATTTTTGTGATGTTGGCAGCCGGATCTGATAATTCAACAACTGTTTATATGTCATATATATAGCATCCAATCAATTCATTATCCGACTTTCACTGTGAAGGTTATTGTTGATAACTGTTATCGTTATCTAATAACAAGGCACTTGTAGGTGTTTCAAGTAGTAAACGAATGTTTTAAAGATATTACAAAAGAGATACTAGGATTTTTATATTTTAACAAAAACGAAAAATTTGATGGATATTTTTGGACGAGGTCTTTAAAACATAAATAAATAAACTTACTAATAATTTCTTCTTATAATTGACCTCTATCAAAACAACTGGAACAAACATACTAAAACACGCTTAACTTAAAAACAGTAATGTAATATAAAAACAATTAATACATATTGCCTCAAACTATTTTGAATATTAAAAAAAAAATGTGGATCCCGTCGGTGATACGTTGAAGATATAAATTTATCTAAAGCGCGACCGTATCAGGGAGCATTTAGTATTGGCCTTAGATTGACTGTCATATTCTTTGAAACGAATATGTAGCTTCGATAAAGGCCTAAAAGACTGATCGCACACCGGTGAGGCTCGATCCCACGACGCGACGAGTTTACAAATTAAATCAACTATCGTAACCACTGGGCTGTTGCCAGCATACTGTGGTTGATCCAAAAATCAGAACGTATTCAGTGTTCAAATTTTAAATATGTCCGTGGTTAGTGTCGATATAATAATAATTAAGTATTACCTGATGATTCTCGCAGATTTAAAGAAGTATATCAATGGATCTGAAACAAGAAAAAAATAATTAATATTAATTATACAACTTTTACTAATATACTACTTAATATTCAATTTTATTTATTTGTATGGATAACATTTATTTCTAAAATAGCCCTTAACCGAGTGGAACAAATAAAGAAATTTTTCAACTGCATATTCATATAGAAATATCTGTATGTATGTCGAGCAATCTACACATTCGCGTCCAATTACGTTTATAAATAATCCGAACGCAAGAGATGATTTATTAAAATCTTTATCGCGCGGAGGTGTCAACAAATCTTATTTGATCATCCATCTTTGTCTAACTCGAGTTATCGCTGGCTGATATCTATGTGCGGGGCCCATACATTATTTATATATGCATGTAAATTTGCATCGACTTTTCAAGGGTTAACCCGTACCGATGTTCGCGCATCGTAATCGCGTTGCATGCGTAAACAGACCCACCATTAAAATTTTTAATATTATTCTTTTTTTGGTTGGTAATTTACAAATTCTTACGCATTTTTATCATTTTTGACACTCTATGAGATGGTGTACTTTACTAGTTTAATAAGTTTTACAGAAATAAGAACTTTAATAAAACAAGTTTTAAAAATAATCTTGTCTAAACAAGATTACGTGGCATGTAATGTGATGCTACTTGCCTTGAACTTAAGGGGCAACATTGTAGCTTAAAACTTTATTACAATATCAAGTTTCTAAACTCGACTTCGTAGAAAGGCACAATATGGCAACACTATACCTACTTAATAATAACAACTTAAAGTTGTAAATTAATATCTAGGCCTCAAAATAAAACTCAAAATAAAATTAGGTGAAGAGAATGAAGAGAACTTAAGAATCATACCTTCAACTACATCAACATAAAAAATAATAAATTAAAAAAGTAATAGACACATTTCTGTCTAGTTCAAATAAAGAACACACAAAGACGCGGCTCGAGTAGAAAATTATATTACAATAGTTTACAAGTTGGAGTCTAATAAAAAGGCGGTACTTAATGTGATTGTATCCTATTGTGAGACCGTGGGCTATGGGTTTCTTTCTATTGTGGACATTGTGGTATATTGTACAACGAAGACAGTAATGAATTGCTTGTTACTTTATGTCAAATAAATGTTTTGACAGGCGACGTAACACAAAAAAAGTTTGAATGACTAACATAGATCAAATAATATATTTGTAAGTTTCTTCTATTTGTCTTTGGAAGAAGTGAAATTAGAGGTTTTTGTTATTTCTATCAGTTGTTAATTATGCTTTCTGTTATTGTAATTAAAATACATTGTGCCTACATAGAGAAAACCTGTATGTACATTTGTAATAATTTCATTTCAAATAGCAGACTGCGCAATTATAAGGCTCAGCCATTAGACCCGACGCGATATGTCGATTTGGTCAATCTCTACAAAATTACATGTACTACTTACACTACAAAATTACATGCATTACTATTAGTACATTACTTTCACAGGTCAGTTTCAATATGAAATTAAGTGGCCGTAGGGCTAATGATACGAATATTTTTGCCTTCAAATATATAAAAATAACATTTCTTACTGGATTATCCATTAACAAGAATGGCCCGTCAATATAATGATGTCTCAAAAATCAATCAATTACTAGAAGTTTTTGATCATAACTATAACAAGTATACTAAATTATATTGTATACTCCATTGTGTATACTCCATAGTAAGTTGGGTTTGGATTAGGATCGAAATCTACCTCACATTAGCTGCTTGCTTACTTTGTTACTCATTGTTAAATTACAAAATTATGAATCAGAGATATTTTTTGTCTTTATTGTATTTCTTTGTGCACATTACCTTACGTTACACAGTTACGTTACAATCCAGATTTATGTTTTAATTGATTGTATTGTGTTTTTTGCATTTAATAAATAAAATAATAAAAAAAACACTTTTATTTTGTCTTAGCAACAAGCAAATTGATTTTGGCGAAGAGTAATTTTTTGTTCCATGTCCAATTTAAAAAAATACAATAATAACTCTATCTTATATGTACAAGTCTATTAGTATAGGTATACTTAGATATTTGTGTAAGAAAAAAACCTTAAGTTCAAAAATGCGTTTGTAGAATATCGAAACATGGCTTAATAAATGGGGTAGGTCAAAAAAACATTAAAATATAATTTATTAAGTATCATGCAATACCATTGAAAGTTCTCAAGGCAATAAATATTAAAGAAATAATACTATTGAACAATGCACTTGAAATATAGCTTGTTTTTTAATTACCTGTCAAAAAGTAACATCTAACCTTTTACAAGTTGGCCAAAAAAACAAGTTTTAGAGAAGTGAGCTCTTCAAAATAAGGTCAAGGTGGTTTTTCAATTTGAACTTTTGAACAATTATGTTGTTTTTGTTTGTGGTCGTATTCTTTAGAAGCTTATCGATTTCCGGTTTTTATATTGTCTATTAATTGATTGTTATCTTTTTTAGTCATTTTGTAAGAAGGTTTTATAATTTATTAATAAAAGCGAGCAAGGGATCTCGTAATTTAAAGAAATGTGGTTCTAAAAATTGATATGTATCGCAATCTTTACTTCAAATTATAACAATGTTTTATAATTGAGTAGGTATTGAAATAAGGTTGTTTATTTACCAGTTAATATTGAACACTGTCGGCATTCTAGAGGCAGGTCTTTAAATATAAGCACTATATCTAAGTCAGACCAGACCTATTATTCAATAAACAGTGTGGAGTATAATAATGGCGGTCTTATTAAAATAGCCAGTGATTTGGCAAGGCAAACCAGTAGCTGTTGCCCGTAAAAGGCATAACATTGTTATTTTCAAAGTGATTGTAATTTATTAGCAGTTTACGTCAATTACAGAATTTAAATATCTTTACATAGTCTGTTGACTTTTAACGGACAATCTCCTAAATGCCTATATCACAGTTGAGATATTGGTACAATCGTTTTGGAATTTACGCACATTTCGTATTGTATGTTAACTATTGAAGTATATTTTAATTTGTTTTAAAAAAAAACTTCTTTTCGAATGCCGTTTTCTTCCTTGAGATTCCTTCCTTCCTTCACCGATTAGGAGATATATCAGTACTAAGTATACAGAATATTAGTATATTTATAGTAATTATGGTTTTAAAAATTAGCCTTACAAATTTACAAATTAACCTTCAACTATCACTGTCTCTCCAAATCATTTTGATCCTAAGGTTACCTGAAAGAGCATTTGCATACGAAATGTACATATCTAGTTGCTAGGCTGTGATGTTTGTTGCTAGTGTGTTGCTGGTGACAATATGGTGACAACCAGTGTCGTATGAACTAATTTGAAATGCAAAGAATATAAATTGAATGATCAATTGCAGTTTTATTAAAGGACCAAAAAGTATAGAACTCTCTGTGTCTTCAGTTTCCAGCAGTGGCTGATGATGATGCGTCCATTATCATCAGCCACTGCTGGAGTCGTAAGACACACACGTAAACGTAAGACCAAGATACGACTTAAACAAGTCTTGCGTCAATTCTACTATTTTAATATTGTATCAATGGACTGTCGATGGAATGTCGTCGGAATAGTTTTGAAATTTTCCTATTCTACTAACTATATAAGACCAATGGATGACTTGTCACTGATACAAATGTCGTCGATGTCTTTGTAACAGTTTGGTAAAGGGTACATTTTAAATTTGTAATTTTTAAATTTGTATTTAATTTTCCAGGCAATGTTGTTGATACATATGTTACTATATCGACAGTCTATTGACACTGTGAATATATGTTGGTAGAATACTGATATTTTGACCGATATCAATGGTGAAAACCGCGACAATAGAATAGTCTACCTTTAACCTTATTTTATATGGGGTCGACACAGTATTTATTAAATTATTCTTCCATTCTACTCTATCATTCGTCATTTCACTGTTTACTCCCTATTAGGATATATGGCTAGGATTGGTCCTCTCTAACACAGTCCAATCACCTTTTATTAGGTCTTCCTCTTCTCTTGTACCCTTCAACTCCCATACCTAACACTTTTCCTTTTAAATAAATTAAATAAGTTCAATTTATTTACTTGTACGTAGTAGCCTTAATCGTATAAGATGTGTCATAACTGACAGCTTACCTATCATCGTCCGCGCTCTCATTGGTCAAATCGAACACAGCGGGTATGACCGGGTTCCTGTAACGCATTACCGTCCTTTTACACGAAACCACTCCTTTGATTGCATGACGGGCCTGTTGATCTACAGGTTAGTGACCCTGACCGCTAAGCTCCCGCTCCGGTTTATCAACAGTTTGGTTACCATAGCACAAATTCTACCTAGTTTGTAATCTGACTGCCGTGTGTGAGATGTGTGAAGTTGTAATTATTATTGCAGGAAAGTGAGAGAAAAGATGTCAAAGTATAGATCAAAGTTGAAATGTTATTGAAAAAGACGCTCTCTTAATGTAGTTAATTTGTACTTAGCTTCTATTACTTCATCTGTGTGGTAACTGTACACGTGTAAACGACATGTGTACAGATACAAATGACTAAAAACATACATGTGTTTGACATTGGCAGTACGAACGTAAACAGTTAATGTTTATTTTGTTTTGCTTAAACTATTTGTAACATATTGTAAGTGTTCAACATTTTAGCTTTCTGTATTGCATTCTTTACATAACGTTTAACTATGTAGATTTAAAAACTGTGTTCTAATCTTTGGTACGTCTTGTAGAGTCTATCTTTTAGTGGCTCTACTACATATGTATTAAATAATAACTTTAAAATCCTGTATGACTTTGAATAAATTTAAGTTAGTTATGATATAAAAGAAATGCAAGCAATACAACTCGATTCAGCTTAGCCACAGCTAATGTATGGCACGGAATGTTTTTTAGCTCATTTTGTACTATAAATACCTATAATTTAGGATTTTATTTGCTTTTGCATATAAAGATAACAGCTTCGACTTTGTACAATTCAAATACACAACGATACACTTATGCCTACGTTACGTTA